TATTAAATATATTAAATAAATAATATATTAAATATATTAAATAAATAATATTATTAAATATATTATATAAATAATATTATTAAATATATTAAATAATAATATATTAAATAAACATATATAATACAAAAACGGTTTCAGAAAAAAGGGAAGAAAATGAAAAAGAAAAAAAAAAGTGAAATCCGTTTTTCATAAAACAGAAAACGAAAACGAGAAAATGAAAACACATTTTTTTTGTTTTCTGATTTTCACAAAAAGACAAAAACGTTTTTGGTTTTGTTTTTTAAAAAAAATTATACCAAACATATTTTTAACACCCGTTTTTATTTTTTTACTTTAAAAACCGTGGAAAACGAAAACGAAAACGTAAACAAACGGGCCCATATGTCGAGACTTTTTTTACCGTCCCTTGCAAGAGATGTATCGTCTTGAAGGGTATTTCTGTCTTTTTGGGTGTATTAATTAGAAGGAGCGGATTGATTGACGAAAGCAAGAGACATATTCTTAAGAAAACCCCATTCATCGTCTCTTCAAAATCCCAACAAAAGCTTTCTGTTAAAAAAAAAAAAAGCCCATCACATATCCAACCCCACCTCACTGACGGCAGCGGCGAAGAGGCCGACAACAACGGTGGAGGTCGAACGAGGAGCGACTGAGACGTGGGCTGAACGAAGAAAGATCCCTTGGGTTTCGCGACCAAGACGGCGGCCTTTCGGGGAGCGAATTGCCGTGGGTTTTGTGACCAGGGCGGCGTGCTTCCGGGGAGGGTGGCAATGGGTTTTGATGGAGAAAGAGATAGAGGGGGGAGGGAGAGGCTCGCGGGTGTGTTGCTAGATCGTTGGTGGCAATTGTGGCGGATCCGGGTCTGTCGTTCCGGTGAAGGCGGCGGCTCGGGGCTGGTCGCTCCGGCAGCGGCTCGGGGCTGGTCGCTCTGGCGGCGGAGGCGGCTGTTGGGTTTACTTGGTCGGTCTGCGGCGAGACGGACGGTGTGATCTTCAACTTTCTTGTCGTTAGGGTTTTGGGACGGTGGCTCGTACTTGGTCAGTGGCGAGACACACGGTGTGATCTTCCACTTTCTTGTCGTTAGGGGGACAGCGGCTTGTACTTGGTCGGCGGCGAGATGAAGGGTGTGATCTTCCACTTTCTTGTCGTTAGGGTTTTGGGCTGGTGGCTCGTACTTGGTCGGCCTCGAGACAGACGATGTGATATTCCACGGCCAGGCTTTCAAGCGAGGCATTCTTAGAGATTTTGGAAAATCTGAGTAAGCTGTTTGAGGAAATGTCTGAAAGGCGTGTTGTTGCATGCATTTCTGGCCGCCGTTGTTTGGCCTCGTTGAGGCTGATGATGATCGGTGGAGGTGCCGTCGGCGATTTCAACGATTGGGTGCGACGATTTGGCGGTGGCTTTTTCACAGACGGTATGTAATTTAACGACTTCCACATTCTTTCGTTCTTGAATTATTGTCTGATTGTGTGTCCTTAGAGCGATTTTCACACCTTAATTTAGTTTGGGAATTTATTTGAGTTCTATAGCCAATCTGTCTTTTCTTGAAATTTTATGCCATTTGAAGCTTTATTGTGGTTCTCGAATCTCGAATTAAACGACTTTCATTTTTCTCGTCAGTTCTTGAATCTTGACTTATACCAGTGTGTGTATATATAATTATATACGTTCTGCTAAACAAATTGTACATTCATTGATTTTATTTACAAGTGCTTTTTAGATTTTCCTTTTAAACTTCAACTTTAGGTTTATGTGTCCATGGATCTGGTGATTGGTTATCCCTGTTCTACCAAATATTTTTGCTAGACACCTTTTTTGAGAGTAAAGAAGAGTTCCTTCAAACCTGTTCAACTCAAAGAGATTTTATCAGGTGCTACATCGTTTTATCATATAGAGCTCAAGAATTATGAGTCTCAGGGATTTTTTTTTATTTAAATTGTGTAATTACTTTTTTGTTTCTGTTTTTACCATCTCTGTTCAGATTCGTTGTTTCTGTAGGTGAGATATTGCAGCATAAGACCTCCAATAGACACGTTGGTTCTGGTAGTCATTTAAAAGCAGCTACTTCTAATTTTGGAGGCATTTGAAATTTAATTGTGTTCTGTATAACAAGAATGATAGCTTTCATATATCTGGTAGTTCCTATTTTCATGCGTAGTGATTATTCTTTCCATCTCTCTTTATATCCATGTGAAGTGTGAGTTGAAATAGAGTGCTAAAGCTCATGCACTCTCTCGTTGCACAGGTTGCGCGTATGGTGATTGGGAAAACAGCTGCTAGGCCCCTTTATAGTTACTTGATTCCTCTTGTTCTTCTTCTTGTTATTGGTAATCGAACTATTTTAAGTCCTTTGTCAGAGTAACTTTAGTTATGTGGTTTTAACTTTTGTGTCTTTGCCTTTTTTTAGGTAGTAGTCTAATTGCTAAAACTACTTGAAGTGGTTTTCCTATTTTACGGTGATTGTAGGTTGGCCTTGTCATTTTGTGTTGGAACTCACCTTATTCCACAACCCAACAAGGTATTTGGTAGTCCCTTGTTTCTCGTGTTATAAACATTAAGCTAAATACACAGGATATGTTTTTCTTTACTTTTAGTAACTTTTTTTGTTGTTGTTTTTCAAGAAAAGGTTGATTAAGGTGGGGAAAATGCTTTTAGTCGATAATTGATAGCTAGCTAAATTATAAAGTACTTTAAGTTATTTGGCAGAGGCGAATTAGTTAAGAAATGCTTGCTTAATTTGCCCAAAAGTACACATAAATGTCCAAGCCCTAAATAAACTACACCTATAAATATAAATGTTTTGATTTCAAGATAGGAGAGGGATGAGCTATGTTTTCTGACAACAATTCTGTATGAACTTGTGAAGTTTAACAATTACAAATTTGCTACCTATTTTGGTAATGTTTTATCAGATTAGTAAATATCTTTGCTTATTTCTTTCTCAAGAATAGAACGCAGAGGAAGGTCTTCTTAGTATAATTTCATAATATTATTAACTTTTGTAAGAACGATTAGTAATATTGTCATTATTACTACTATTGAAATTTATACACACCATTTTTATATAATTTTGTTTATCTTTTGAAAAAATATTTTCCTAATTGCATAGTTTCTTCAATGGAGACATTTTCCCTTTGCACTATATGATTTGGAAGATGTGATGTCATTCGAAAAACAAAATTTGGGAAATAAACTTGGTAATTCTTATGATCAGCAAAAAAATAAAAAAAAACAAAGATTTTTGGTGCAAAAGTGATTTATTGCTGAAGGATTTTTTAGTTTTTAGTTTTTTTCTTTTAAAATGAAGAAGTTCGTAGTCTATATAATGGTATAACATCATTATCATTAAATGTATGTCTTATGTTGATAATGATTATTGTTTTTTTTTTCCACGAATTCTACTGATTATTGTTTTATCATTTCTCTTTTTTATCGATGTAATTTTGTTATTTACTGCTACTAATACAATAATTTTGTTATTGTTGAAATCTTTGCTCGGGATGAGGGACAACAAAGAGGCATGTTCTAAATACCCTGTTCAACAAAGCCATACATGGTTTTTCGTAAGTTATTAATTACCTTGACTCTTGGTGCATTTTGGAGCTTATTAAGTACTTTAAGTGCTTGGGCAGAGGAAAATCATTTAAGAAATGCTTGCATTCTTCCCCTCCTTAAAATGATCAATGTGTCCACGTTATATATGGAGTCAAGTTCGTCCTTGACGGAAGACATAAAATAGTAAACCGCTCTAATTTGGTCGGTTCAGGTAGCTTGGCTGGACATAAATTACTAGGTCAAGAGCCTCAAATATTTTCCAACATATTTATTCACGTTTGCTGCCCCTTCCCCTCTAAACTTGTCTTGATATTATGCTCACTATAAGACACATCATTGGAAAGAACAGGGTCATCAAAGTTGTTTCAATTTTTTCTTAACTAGCCATACAAGAATTCAGAACATTTTTCATAGACCTAAATAGTATTCTAAAGAAAACTCCTTACAACGTCTCTTCAAATCCCAAAAAAAGCCTTTGACTGTCACTCACAATCCCACCCCATCCCACCCCACCAACGGAAGCGGCGAAGAGGCCTACAAGGCTACAACAACAATGAAGGTTGAACGAGAATTGATTGAGATGTGGGCTGAACGAAGAAAGGTTGCTTTGGGTTTCGCAACCAAGACAATGGCTTTTTGGGGAGCGCATTGCTTGGGTTTTTTTACCAGGGCGGTATGCTTCCCGGGGAAGGTCGCAGTGGGTTTTAATGGGAGAGGCTTGTGGGGTGTTGCTGGATTGTTGGTGGCCGCTTGGGGTCTGTCGTTCCGTCGACGGTGGCAGGTGTTGGGGAGCTGGTCGCTCTTGCTCTACACCCGCTCCTTGTCTTTCACAGCCTCCCCCTTCTCTCCTATGGGTTTGTTCTTTGATGCACTTTAGATTCTTCTTGTTGCTTAATTTGTTTTTCCGCGGGGGTTCAGGGTCTCTGTCGTGGTGTTTCTGCTCAGCCCTAAAGGTTTGTTTTTGTCTCTTCTCTTTTTTATTTCTTATTTTTTTAAAAGGGGTTTAGTGACTTGTTTGTTTTAGGTTTGAATTGCTTCTTCAAGTTAGTTTTTGATTGTATTTACCTTGTTATTGAATTTATGTTTGTAGAAACATATTAGGATTTTATAAGTTGAACCCGAACAGCTGTCTCTCTGCATTTCCTTCTCTCTCGTTTTTAAACAGAGTTAAGGATAAGACTTTTGAAATATTCCTTTTGGTATTTCCATGTAGGGTGGATGAAAAAGAATGTAATTTTGTGATGTTAATTTTGGACGTTGAGTACTTTTTCCATTGTGATAAGAATTTCATCAAGAGAAATAGTTACAAAGAGAAATACTATTCTTTGCCGATTGGTTGTTCTTCCATATTGTGCTCATGGTTTCTCTTGCACCATTTTCCTTTTGTGTAGTGGACATTTGTTTTTCTTTTAGATTTGTACTTCTCCCCCCTCTTATTATGCTTTGCCATTTTCGGGTTTTGTTTGTTCTAGGTTTAGATTTTTGTTTTAATTTGGTTATGATTATTTTTTGCCTCTTTGTTATTTAATTCGTTGTTGTAGAAAATATTTGGATTTTGCTTAATCATTATTGTATCACATGTTTTCACATCTCATTTAGTTTGTTTAATGTTCATATTAGTGCCTCTGATTATCTCATTTTAAGGTTTGATTATCTCATATTAGTGCCTTGTGTTTTTGTTTTTTACACTTTCCTTGCTAATCTCGCCTTTTTTTGTTTTTTTGTTTTCCTCCTTTTTTTTACTCTAGCTTCTTTCTCTTTGCCTTTTTCCCCTCTCTCTGCCTTTTGTTTATACTCACCCTCTATGCGCTCGGATTTTAGATGAACAAAGAGCCATTAATTTGGCTTTGTGAGAAAGTCCATCGCAGAAAAATTATTTTGTGGATGAGATTTCCAAAAAAGATTGTTGTTCTTTGCACACAAAAACAAATCTCCTTCTCTTTAGGTGTTTTGATTTTTGAACATTTCTAACTCTTTTTCCCTTTGATGCAGGTTAGAAAAAGAAAAGATAGTGACCACATCATCGTGAAGAGAAGAAGAGGGCAATAATATTATTTTACTTTATGTCCTAAATATATAAAAGAGTAGAAGAAGAAACTTATTGTGCTGTTTTTGGTAGTCCAAAACGCACCGTGCTCTCTCTCCTTTTTCTTCTTCTTCTTTTCCTTTTTTATTTCCCAGACTCTGTTTTTTTAATTTCCCCAAATACCTGCTCCCTTTTCCTCCTCCATTCATTCTGTCATCTCTCTCACCCCTACTTCCCATCTTTCTCTCTACAGATTTCTCCTCAAACTTAAATCAAAGATTTTCTCACTAGAGAAATCAACGGACACTAGCTTACTATGGCCTTTTCGTTTGTTCATCGTGGAATCAAGGAGGCTCATCTTTCATGTGAGTTTTCACTTCAATTCCTTGCACCCTTTCTTAATCTTTCCCAATTGTATATCTGAAATTATAATTATATTTACCTTATTTAGAAGACAGAAATTAGGTATTCTAAATTAGGTGCCTTGTGTATATGCCTCAAGTTTTTATAGTCAGCTTTTCCTACCGAAATTAGATCTTGGGTTTAATTCTCAAGTTTCTGTACTGGGTGTTTTTGATGATGAAAGGTTATATTTTGAGATGAATCTTAGTCTCAGCCTTATATTCTTCTAAGTCAATCTCATTTCATTTTCTCGGTAACCATCACCTTTTTTTTTCTAGGTCTTCAAAGATTCCGAGAGAACCAGATTCAATTGACCAGGGAACCAGTAGAAGCTCAACTAAAAATACAATTCCAAAAGGTAATCTCTTTTTTCTTTTTTAATTCTACCAAAACACCCCAGATTATCTTTCATGTGTCGATGAAAACTGAAAATTTTTCCCAAAAATTCTTTACTTTCTCAAGAAAAAAAAGATAGCAAGTGGATTTATCTGATGCCCTTGACTTCAAGAACATTTTAGAACCTTCCAATAACGACGGCAAGATTCCACTGAGTACCATCCTTTTTTCCCGATTTTGTCGTTCAGTGTTTAGCTTAGAAAATCTTCATGCTATCAAAAACTCCTATTAAATTCTAGGTTTTTTTTTGGGTCTAATTTCCTCTGAAGATGGCTGATTTTCTTTTTCCTATTTAATTACAACATTTTTTTATTCCTAGAACTTTTATCATAGAAGGATATTGCCAATAGAAAAGGCAGAGGCTAATAAGCTTTCTGCGGCCTCCTTTGATCTATTTGTTGCAGCGAAGGAGAGGGGATTTTTGATCCAAGAAGAGTTCTAAGGATAATGATGATGGTAAAGAGTGGAAATTGGAAGAGAAACATGAAATGTATGCTAGAGAAAATGCTTGAAGATCAGTTCCAGCTTCTGTTCTTTGGAAACTGCGTAGGACATTCTTCGCCTACAAGTTGGCTGGTCTAAGGTTAAATTTTTCATATTTCATTTTCTCTCTCTTAATATTTGATATTCTAAAAACTAAAATTATCATTTGATGAGAGCTTGATTTTGATTTTGCATTTGTTTATTTTATCGAATCTCTGTTTGATATTCTAGAGGAATTATGATGTGTCTCTTCACATAACAAAATATCTGATCCACTCTGAACTGGCTAAAAGAATCAAAGCTCCTACAATGCCTTACGAAGAAGTTTCAAGCCAAAAAGCCACAATAGCTAACTACTTTGGCTTAGGTGCTTTATTTCTCACTTAGGGTTTTTTAAAGTTAAGAAATTATCTCTTCAGGAGATTATCATTTTAAAAGTTAGGAGTTATCTCTTTCTTGATTCTATTTTTAAATTTAGAAATCCGGATAGAATGTTTGTTTAGGTCCAGATAAGGATGACTTGGAATCCAATTAGGATTTCATGATTATGTTAGATTTTTGAAGTTATTTTTATGTCTATAAATAACTTCTAAATTCCGTATATTAATAATAAGAAAATAAATTCTTTTTCTTCTAAAAAATTACATGGTATCAGAGCTAGCTGTTAAGTTTTAATGGCAAAGACTGCCATGACCGGAGCAAGTAAGACCTCTGCTTCAAGGGATTCTGCAGAGAATGAGCAGTCCGAAACCACTGCCATGACCAATGGCACAAATCCGTTAGTAGCATATGCAAATCCTATTCTTCAAATCACCATTTACAAATTAAATGATAAGAATTACTTGGAGTGGGCTCAGTTCATGAAGCTCGCAATTGATGGAAGAGGGAAACTTGGCTATTTAACCGGAGAGGTAAAAAAACCAGCAGTGGGCGATTGAAATTGAAGGTATGGCGATTCGAGAACTCTTTGATAATAGCGTGGCTCATCAACTCAATGGAGCCGGCTCTTGGAAAACTCTATCTATTCTTACCAACCACCAGAGATATGTGGGAAGTTGTACGTGAGATGTACTCAGACCTGGAAAACTCATCACAAATCTTCGAACTAAAGACGAAGCTGTGGCAATCCGGGCAGGGAGATCGAGATGTCACAACATACTACAATGATATGGTGATTTTATGACAAGAATTGGATTTGTGTTATGAAGATGAATGTGATTGTCCTATTGATAGTGTATGACATAAGAAAAAAGAGGAGAATGATTGAGTTTACATGTTTCTAGCAGGACTCAATCAAGAATTAGATGAAATAAGAGGAAGGGTCTTAGGAAAAAAAAAACCCTTACCATCTATCAAAGAAGTGTTTTCAGAAGTTAGGAGAAAGGAGGCTAGGCGAAGAGTGATGCTAAAAACCTAAGAACCGAAGCTCAATCCTGAAGTAGAAAGTTCGGCTCTAGTCTCTAGAGGATTTGATCCGGAGGAAGAAAAGAAAAAGAAACCATGGTGTGATCACTGTAAAAAATCATGTCATACAAAGGAAACATGCTGGAAACTTTATGGCAAACTGAAGAATTTTAAAAAGAAGAATGGAGGTGATGGCAAAGCATTCCAAACCGTGAGTGAGGATTCTCAGAGGCAGCAAATCAACTCAGAAATAACTCAGTTCACAAAGGAACAACTAGACCATCTGTACAAACTCTTTCAATCTCCACAATTTTCAAATTCTTCTTGTTCTTTAACTCAAAAGGGTAATTATCTCATTACAGCTCTCTCTAGTATAAAATCTTATCTGTTTTGTCTATGGATTATTGACTTTGGAGCCATAGATCACATGACTGGCTTTTCAAAACTGTTTTCATCCTACAAATCTTGTATAAGGAATAAAAAGATCAAAATTGCAGATGGATTCTTTTCATCCATAGCTAGAATAGGATCAGTCATCGTTTCTTCATCTCTCACACTTCATAATGTCCTCCATGTTCCAAATTTGTCTTGTAACTTATTGTCCATAAGCAAAATAACTCATGATCATAAGTGTCAAGCGAACTTCTATCCATCTTATTGTGAGTTTCAGGAACTAACCTCGGGGAGGACGATTGGCAGTGCTAGAGAGATTGGTGGACTTTATTTCTTTGAAGATGGATCCAAATCAAGAAGACCGACACATAGTACTTGTCTTGAGTCTATTTCTATTACTAGTAGGGATGAAATAATGATGCGGCATTATAGGTTAGGCCACCCTAGTTTTCAATATTTAAAACATTTGTTACCAAACTTATTTAGCAATAAAAATCCATCTTCATTTCAGTGTGAATTTTATGAATTAGCTAAACATTATCGTACCACATTTTCATTACAACCATACAAGGCTTCGAAACCTTTTTCCTTAATACATAGTGATGTATAGAGGCCTTCACGGATCTCAACACTATCGGGAAAGAGATGGTTTGTCACTTTTATAGATGACCACACAAGGGTAAGTTGGATTTACTTACTAAAAGAAAAGTCAGATGTGGAGGAGGTGTTCAAAATTTTTTACATAATGGTGATGACACAATTTCAAACACAAATTCAAGTTTTTCAAAGTGATCATGGAAAAGAGTATTTTAACAAGATTTTGGGAAAATTCTTCCTAGAAAAAGGCATACTTCACCAGAGCTCGTGTAATGATACCCCCAACAAAATGGAATAGCTGAATGAAAGAATAAACACCTCATAGAAGTAGCTAGAGCACTACATTTCATAAATAAGGTCCTGAAGTATCATTGGGGGAAGCTGTCCTCACAGCTACCTACCTTATCAATAGGATGCCAACTAGGGTGTTGAAACTCAAAACACCATTACAGGTATTTTCAACTCGCTATCCAACATCTAGGTTATCATCTACACTTCCTAAAAAAATTTTTGGATGCAGAGTTTTGTACACATTCATGATCATAATTGGGGAAAACTTGACCCTAGAGCTAAAAAGTGTGTTTTTGTAGGATATGCACAGACTCAAAAAGGTTATAAATGGTTTGATCCAATTTCTAAGAAAATGTTTGTTACCATGGATGTAACTGTCGAAGACCTAGGGTTTTTTTAAAGTTAAGAAATTATCTCTTAAGGAGATTATTATTCTAAAAGTTATGAGTTATCTCTTCTTTGATTTTATTTTTAAATTTAGAAATCCGGATAGAATATTTGTTTAGGTCCGGATAAGGATGACTTGAAATCCAATTAGGATTTCATGATTAGGTTAGATTTTTTAAGTTAGTTTTATGCCTATAAATAGCTTCTAAATTCCGCATATTAATAATAAGAAAGTAAGTTCTTTTTCTTCTAAAAAACTACAGTAACATTTTTTGATCTAAACCTTTTTTTGCTACTCATCTTCAGGGGGAGAGTACTAGTGAAGATGTAACCAAATTAGGAATTAATGATGTTTTTGAAATAGATTCAACACATACTCCTAATATTGAGGCTAAAAATTCGGATTCACATGTTAAAAAAACGGAAAATATGGATGGAACAAATTATGTTTTACATATTGAAAATTCCAGCAGTCTACTGCCATGTCAAAATTAGAATCTCAGCAGCTTAGAAAATGGGAACAAGACTGGTACTAAGAATACATATCTCTTGGTCTATTCAAGGAGGAAACTAAATTCAAAGAAACAAGGTCCCGATCCTCTACAAGTTCATGAGTCTGCTGAAGGAAGAACCAAAACCAGGTAACAATTAATCCGATTCTTTGTTAAACTCCAGTCTGAGCCCCTTGGTGATTCGATATAGTCTATCCCTAGTGCTAGTACTGAGTCATTTGATGATGTTAATATTCCTATTGCCACCCGCAAGGGTGTCTGGTCATGCGCTAAACATCTCATGTCTAATTACGTGTCCTATAAGAATCTTTCTCTTCATTTTTTTCATTTACCGTACATCTCACTTATGTGGAAATTCCAAAGAGTGTGCAAGAAGCTTTACAGGTTCCTGAGTGGAGGAAAGCTATTTATGAAATTTTACAGACACAATCCTTACATTTTTCTAGGGATGCCAAAAAAAATGGGCACAAAACATGAAAAATAAAAGTATAACGCTGTAAAAAGGCCCCCGGCCCGCGTAGTAGGGCGCCTAGGGACCAGCTCAAGGGCCGGAATGGGTCAAAAGTTTAAATTTTTTATTGATGTTTTGCATTCCAAAATTAATATATAACTTTTAGGAATTAATGCAACAAGCGACACTATTTTTTGATGAATATTCTATTTTTTATGATTTACCTTATTTTTTGTCTTAAAAAAATATAATAAAATAAAATGACGTCAAAAAATAATGAAATTTTTCAGACACGATCATTACACTTTTCTAGGGATGTGAAAAAAATGGTCTTAAGAAATGAAAAAAGAAAAGTAATACGCGGTAAAAATGCCCCCAGCCCGCGTGGTGGGGCACCCACGGGCAGCTCAGGGGCCGAGATAGGTCAACAATTTATATTTTTATTTATCTTTTCCACTTTGAAATTAACATGTGATTTTTAGACATTAATGCAACAAGCAGAACCATTTTTTTGACGAATGTTCTATTTCTTATGATTTTCTTTATTTTTCCTATTTAAAAAATATGATAAAATAAAAACGACGACAAAAAATAATGAAATTTTCCAAACATTCACCTTACATTTTTCGAGGGATGCTAAAAAAACTGGCCTCAAAAAATGAAAAAAAAAATTGTAAAACGCTGTACAAAAGCGCCCGGCCCGCGTAGTGGGCGCCCAGGGGCCGGGATGGGTCAAAAATCTACATTTTTATTTATGTTTTGTATTCTAAAATTAATATATGATTTTTCAAAATTAATGCAACAAGCGGCACCATTTTTTGATGAATATTCTATTTTTTATGATTTTCTTTATTTTTCGTCTTTACAAAATATAATAAAATAGAAACGACATAAAAAAATAATGAAATTTTGCAGAAACAATCGTTACATTTTTTTAGGCATGCTAGAAAAAAATGGCCTAAAAAAAATTATACGTTGTCAAAAAGTCCCGGCCCGCATAGTGGGGCGTCCATGGGCCAGCTCAGGGGCCGAGATGGGTAAAAAATTTACATTTTCATTTATGTTTTGCATTATAAAATTAATATATGATTTTTAGGAATTAATGCAACAAGCGGCACAATTTTTTGACGAATATTCTATTTTTTATGATTTTCTTTATTTTTCATCTTTAAAAAATTTTATAAAATAATAA